TAACAGATACTTTACAAACATTAAATTTGTATTTTCTAAAATGTCCTTCTGTAGCACTGGTGCTAAAATTAATACTGAAATCATAAATCATCTTGTAGAAGGTTCAGATATTTACTCTAAGCTACTCGGGCTTCATTTGATATAACAATATGCTAACATAGTGAGGCAAGCTAATCGCTAATGCTCTGGTTGAAAAGACAAACAACCAGTGCTTTGAGATGTCAGAGATGATAGCTAATAAAACATTATTCCGCCTGAGGTGCCACAGGTGATATGTCTCACATGTTTTCTTTCCCACTCACTTCAGAAAAGAGGATTAGTGTACCATTAGTTACTGTTACAATTAGAAAACACTGATTCTGGTTTAGCGCTGGAAGTTGCACCCATAATTCATGTAAGGTATCATTGGGGCTATGAGTACGCTATGCACGCTTCCTTCTACATGGTGATATGGTTTGCAGGTGTAGTTAGAAAGAAAATACTTCCTACATGAAACTGTTCACAACAAGGTCTGTGGATTATCTTGAGTAACTGGGTCATGATTTTTGAAAAGAGACATTGCTGTTGAGTTTTTCAGATATATTTTTGAGCTTTGAGCACCACCGAGTGTCATGTAGTTTAATTATATTGGAGAGAAGGCAACTTGCATAAAATAATTTAGAGTGATATAGCACTTAGGGGTGAGGGAAATTTCCAAATCTTAGATGCATCGCGATTCGGACGTGGACGAATCTGAATCGATTCACAAACGTCCAAATTTCGATTATTTAAATCTGTTAATTAGAGTAATACAGAAGGTTCTAAATAATGCGGAACTAAGAAGCGCGGTACGTGTCATCTCTGGCACACTTTGGGATGCGCACCTGGAGCAGACACGCCGACACGCGCACAGAGGAAAACAAACATGGCTGACCGCCACCCACCTCGCCGTGAGATCCGAACAGCTCCTTCTAATTTAACAGCTCCTTCTACAACGTTGACGGCGGAAGCGAACTGGACAAGAGCCACGTTATATGTAAGCTGTGTCGTGCTAAAATAAAATACTTTGGCAACACAACAAACATGAGAAGCCATGTAACTCGATTCCACCTGACGGAGGAGTCAGGGAGACGGCAGGCTGTTGTTGCTGCGGCAACTAGTGGCGCTACTGACCAGAGAACAATCGAGGAAGCAATTAGAAAGCTGCCACCCACATCGGAAAAGGCGAAGCGAATTACGAAGGCCATCGCGGCATTTATTGCCAAGGATTTGCGTCCTTATTCTGTCGTGGAAAATAAGGGATTTCGAGCACTGCTGCATACACTGGAGCCCAGATACACCATCCCATCCCGACGCTATTTCACCGACACTCTACAACCAAACCAAAACAGAAGTCATGGCCTCGCTGTTGAAGGCAGGTAGGATCGCAGTTACATGTGATGCGTGGACGTCTGTCGCCACCGAATCATTTGTTACTCTAACTATGCATTTTATCTTGTGATTTAAGATACCTGTTGTTACCTTTGATTCCATACAACGAAGTTGTAACTTTCCAGTTTGCACGCATTTCCATTTATATGTTTAATAAAATATAATGGAAATGAATTCAACTGTTTCTTATTACAAATGCACTGTTTTTAAAAATTGCAAGTGTTGAATGCTTATTCAGTGAGACAAAAAGAAATGTGTGTTGTGAAAAAGTGCATCAATATACATAAATTAAAGATGCATCAATAATCGTTTTATAATCGAATCGTAGCCCCTGAATCATAATAGTTATCGAATCGTGAGGTGCCCAAAGATTCCCACCCCTAATAGCACTACAGGTAAGAGGAAAGATATGTATTTTTGATTTTGGTGTGAACTGTCCCTTTAAAGCCAACACAAGCAAGCTTTTTTACACTTTCATGTTGTTGCTGTGTTAATAAATGAAAAATACATTTGATCCAAGAGTAGAATTGTAACAAAAGACAAAAGAGTGGAGCCTTTTTGTATTGCAGACAAACAGCTGGGAGACGATTCTCCTTTCCTCTCAAGAATTCTCTACACCTTGTGTGTTTGAGGGGTGGGGTGGGTAAAAGCTCGTGTGTAGTAACAGTATTAATGTGTGTGTTTGTGTTCATGTGGCTGCAGACTTACATAACTTCCCTCTGCTAAATATAACCGCTCAGAGCCGAGCTGTCACTCTGTTACAAGCTGCTGAGTGTATAAATACACACAGTCAGTGAGTCAGTGTGTTTTCAGATTCAGTCTGAGGTGCTGAGAAACTGTTGTCACTCTGAAAACCTTCACTTCTGAGCTGATCTCTTAAAAACAAAGACAGGAGCAAAGTGTGAACAACTTTTGTTTAAGTTCAAGCACCACAGCAACGAAAGGTCTTTGATAAACTGTGTTAGTGTTGGAAAATCTTTAGACAAATAGGAACGTTCAATGAGTAATCGATTACATAATGAAATATTTTGAATTTCAAAAGTTCATGTAATGTTTCATTATAGTTCAGATGTTGTTGTTCCTTACCTTCTTTGTTGATATGGTAATGGCTCTTAGGTTCACTATTCACTCTGGGACTTGCCCACCCAACTGTAGTCCCTCTATATCTCACACTGTTATGGACACCTTCCAATCCATCAGTTTACGTGATCTAATGGACTTGATCAGGGAAATGAAGCTGTCCTGTCTTGTTCCCTTGTTGATGTAATTCCATTATCTCTATTTTTAATTTTTTTGCCAAGAATCGGCCCTCGAACAGTCCACCTATTTCTAAACTACCACTGCTGTCTAAAATTTTGGAGAAGGTGGTTGCCAATCAACACACAACTGCATTGGAAAGACACAATATTTACACAACTTTTAGTCAGGGTTTAGAAAGCAGCACTCTACTGACACTGTACTTTTGAGAGTTTCAAATGACATTCTACTGAAATCTCTTCACTCCCTGTCACGTAAAGGATCCAGTTCCAAATTCTCATTCTTATGCCTGGTTCACACTACACAACATTTCTGTCTGTTCTCACAGTCACTATGTCACATTAGGCGATTGTGGAGTCATAAAATCGTACCGTGACTTGGCCGACAGACATGACACACTACACGATGGTATGATGGTGATGTCTCCGGGTTAACCTTGTCCTGTTTATATTATTATTACTATTATTTCAGTCACTGTGTCTGTTCCTGTGCCAGCCGAAATGTTGTTGTAGTAATGTAAAAAGTGCCAGCAGATGGCAGGTGCTACATTTGAAGCTCCTCATGCAAAGTGTTGACATTCACGGAATCCTCCACAAAAAGCCGCTGTGTTGGGCTATAATCCCGCTGATATCGTGTAGTGTGAACCAGGCATTACTCACTGAGCATTACACGGTCAGGCTCCCCCTTATGTGGCTAAACTACTTCACCTGTATTCTTCAGCTCGACCTCATCGTTCAAATACGCAAAATTTGTTGTCTGTTCATTGCGCTTGCCTTTAGACCTGTGGGGAGTGAGTTTTGCGGTGGTAGCACCTGAATTTTGGAATGCTCTGCCTGCTCCCCTATGGTCTGCTGACTTTTTTTTGTGCAAATAGTTTTGCTAGTTGCACTTTTAACCTTGGGCTCACATTATCACTTTGTCTTTTTGTTGTCTTTCTTGTTGTATAATGCCCTTGTGAAGCACTCAGTATGAAAATACAACAAAGAGGGTTTCGTGTTGAGTTTATACATCCTCTGTACATATTATGGAGGTCAGAGTGACAGGTCATTTTAAGATGGTCCAGTACTGGATACAAGGAGACTAAGGAGTGGCACAATCAGTTGTTTCAATGAATGCCTCAAAACGACATCTGTTTATGTTCACATGGCAGCGCCTTCTGGTGGCTGCAGGAATTATGACAAGAACAAAAGAGGAAGTCAGGATGAGCGACCAAATTTCAGATGTCAGTATATATGTTTTTTCAAACTGTTGTTTTTTGTCTTGCATGAGTACTTTCACACAGAATGCGAGCATCACATGATGAAAAAGCTGCGTAATTTTTTGTTTGTTTTTCTCAGAACTTGGTAGATTTTTCAGATCTTTTGCACTGCAGATAAAGGCATCAAGCAATCAAGTTGTGGCTAGTTTTATGAGGATTATAAATTAACATGGAGGCTCTGCAGTCTGAATTAAGATGGCAAACTTTTTAACTTCTTTCAACCTTGACACTAGGCAGTGCATACCAGATCTACTCCTTCCATTCTTACCTTGCACAATAAAAGCCCTAGACATATACACTGCATTACTGTTTATCAGAGGGAATTCAAATTCACTCTTAGTATTTTGCATTAAGGAAACTAAATAAAAAAGCTTACAGTAGCTTTGGCTATTCACCAACTTACCTCAGATGCAACAGGATCCCACTAACCAGTTGTCGAAAATTCATATGCCGCCGGAGAATCTATTTGCATCAAAACCTTTTATTGAACAAGTGTTGCGACGGTCACAAATTCACATTGCTGCTGGAGTGACATGGGGTTTTGTTTTGTGTAATGAAATTAATTGTTACAGTAATCTTCCATAGATAAAATTCCACGCCCAAGGCTTAAAAAGCCCATGCCTATGTTCTTATGTTGCCGCATTGTTTTTAACACTTGCATCCAGAAATTAGTTTATAATCAAATGCATCAAAATACAGTTTAACCCTCAACATCTCATCTTGTGTCTGTATTGGTGTTTCTTCATCATCTTAGAGTAGAGGGAACAGTTTATTCATCACCTCTGGTTATTGTGTTAAGCTTTAAACATTTGGGATGTTTGCTGAAGTTGCTTTTCCTTTTGGAGTTCTATTAATGACATGTTTTAAATAAACAGAATCAAACATAATCACCTTCATGCCATCTGACAGGAAACAAATTTGGAAATAAAGCTGCCTTGGGAATGAAACCTCCACGACTGTTTCTGATGCAGCTGCTGACAGATGTGTTTTAAGGTTTTGAGTGTGTGTTCCTGACAATTTATTTTCTGTGTGTGTGTGTGTGTGTGTGTGTGTGTGTGTGTGTGTGTGTCTGCAGCTCAGATTGAAATCATTCCCTGTAAGATCTGTGGAGATAAATCATCAGGGATCCACTACGGAGTGATCACCTGTGAGGGCTGTAAGGTAAGCCCCGCCCTCTCCTCTTCATCATCTCACTTCCTGTCCTGCCTCCTCTCACAAAATGTTAAACTGCTGTCATCTGAAAATTAAAAAAAGATAAATGGTTCATTTCTGTCATAAATGTTCCTTACATCTGTTTAGTCATTTTCAGGTTTTAAAGACATTATTCAGTTTAATGGCTTCATTTTTAGGATTAGAATACAAATTGTTGTGGGATGTTTTTGGTTTTTGGTATAGACTGCAGTGACAGCCTTGTAAGCACATTTTGAAACAGCTGTCAGAGAACCAGCTCACATCATCTTGTCTTGGACAAAAAGTTGCACATGAACACACTACAACAGACAGCCAACAAAAGCATATGTTCTGGGCCTGAATGAGAGGACATACACCTCCATACCAGCAGACGGCGTTCGTCCATAATCATCATTCAAAAAGGGAAACCGGAAGACTGTCTTGACGCTAGCCAGTTAGCACATAAACAACACAATCCAGTGTTGACAGAACAGAGCATATTTACCGTGTGCCAGTGAAAGATAACACAAACCATTATGAAACATTTCTGCTAAAGAGCTCAATGGCTAAAGAGGAATAATCGTACCTATTGTAACAAGTTTGTTTTGACCAAACTCTCTCTTGACTTCAGCTCTTTGTTTACTTTCCTCACCTCCGTTTCTTTTTTCATGCGCTGAGCTGAACTGCCAATCAGAATGATTTCCTTCACCGTCAGGCTCCGCTGTGCCATCACCATTGTGCAGCTTCAGTTCAGTGGTAGAAAGGCCAACTAGTGCCAAATAGGGCCAACAGCGCGGGACACAATGCACCGACGAGGGTGGCAGAGGTTCACAAGAAGCCTAACCTTGACCAACAGCCAAACGTCGGCTTGGTGTGTCAGGCCCTTGACATGAACCAGACGTGTCAGTAGCTAGACAATAACAATGGCATTAGCATGGCAATAACAATTATTAACCCTGTTAGTCCCTGTTATATGATGGCTGATGTCCTCTGCTCAGAGGGTGAAGACCTCTTGACCTCATTATCTTCCAAGTTTGCGGACATTTTCAGCTGATGTACTTCTTCTTTGAGTTAGCTGCTAACTGTTTCTAGCTGCTTTTATATTTCCTGGCTGTGGGCTGCACACGTCAAAATGTCACACTCATTTCGTCTATGGTCCCATTGTGCTGGCTGTCCCTTCTTCACAGACATCAATTCAACGCTATTACTACCCCCGCTGCTGGCTTAAAGGTGAGACACCTCTGTCCCCCCATTCCGGACTGTTCCTTTTATAGACTGAGGCAAGATAACGGTGCAACATTCCTGCCTTGAACAGGCAGTGTAAAAGGGGCCATAGTTTGTCTTTTACTTTAATGATTCCAGAATTTACACAAAAAACACAATACAATTCTCATGTTATCATCTGAAATTGATTTCACTACAACTGGGTAGTTTCTCTTTACTTTTTCTCCATCTCAGCCTGCCAGGGGCCCATTCACAGTCTGACTCTCATTAACAGAATCAGAGGAAACGTTTGACGTTCAGTTTGGACCATCAGTCACAACAGCCTGGCACAAAAAATCTTCTCCTGGTTAGAACAGTTCCCCAAACAGTTAGTGTGTGCAGCTGCAGCAGCTGCTGTTGGCAGCTGGAGGCTCATTTCACAGCCAATGAGCAGCGGATGGAGATTTATGTGTGTACAAACACAGACAGGGAGGCTGATGGGAGGCAGAGTGTATCATGGAGACAGGAGATCTTGGTTAGGGGAAATGGTCGAAAAAAGCTGGGAAAACAGAGCAAAAAAACATATGTCTAAAAAAAGATGTAATATCTTTTCAATGTCTTAAAAAGATGAATGAAGGCCTGATCACGGTGTGACACTGACTGAACACAACTGTATTTATAACTAAAAACTCTTAAATATTACTCATATGACTATTCCCTCAACTCACAGGGTTTCTTCAGGCGGAGTCAGCAGAGCAACGCCACCTACTCGTGTCCTCGCCAGAAAAACTGTGTGATCGACCGAACGAGCCGCAACCGCTGCCAGCACTGCCGTCTGCAGAAATGTCTGGCTGTGGGCATGTCCCGAGACGGTGAGACACACACACAGGCATAACAAACTAATGACCACACATACACACTCACCTGCAGGAACATCTGGCGGTCAGCGTTTTGCAAGATGTTAGCCTGCAGATGAACCAGCAGAGCAGAAGTGTCTGGCTGTGTGCAACATGTTGTTTGTGTTCCTGTTTGATGCAACAATGAATAACTAGTTTATCAAAGGAACCTGCTCTGCTTGATGCAGGATCAATCTCAGTTTCATTTCTCTATGTTAGCTGTGGGGGGCCATAACAGGTGGTACTATAGAATATGGAATATATCTTTATTGTCTCCCATGGGTGGAAATTTGTCTTCGGCTCACCAAACACAAAAGACAACATTGTAAAAAGCAGACAAACAGTCAGTAAAACAGGTAAATAGAGTTATTACAAAACAACAGATTAAATCAGCACATTGTCTGTCTGTGGTTTAAAACTCATCAATCACTTCAATTCAATTCAATTTTATTTATAAAGCCCAATATCACAAATCACAATTTGCCTCACAGGGCTTTACAGCATACGACATCCCTCTGTCCTTAAGACCCTCACAGCGGATAAGGAAAAACTCCCCCAAAAAAAACCCTTTAACGGGGAAAAAAAAACGGTAGAAACCTCAGGAAGAGCAACTGAGGAGGGATCCCTCTTCCAGGACGGACAGACGTGCAATAGATGTCGTACAGAACAGATCAGCATAATAAATTAACAGTAATCCATATGACACAATGAGACAGAGAGAGAGAGAGAGAGAGAGAGAGAGATGCAGGTAATGACAGTAGCTTACAACAACATTAATGAAAGTAATAATATTATAGTTATAGTTCTGGCTACTGTGGTACAATATGTTGAAAGTATGTATTAATATCAGACAGTATACTTGTGTGACAATAGTCATATGTGTATAATAACAGTAGAAGTATGACTAATGACTAATGATGGCAGCAGCAGCAGGAGGCATCTGGCAGGACCACGGCAGCAGCACAACCACACACGTCACACTGTCCAGGCACCGCTGCGGTATGAGTTATTCTGAGAGACAGTGGAGCACAAAGGCTCCGGAGAAGAAGCCGAGTTAGTGACATCCAGAATGGCCGAGTTAGCAAGATGCAGTAATAGGATGAGAGTGAGAGAGAGAGAGAGAGAGAGAGAGAGAGAGAGAGAGAGAGAGAGAGAGAGGGAGAGAGAGGGAGCCCGGTGTATTATAGGGGGTCCTCCGGCAGACTAGGCCTAAGTCAGCCTAACTAGGGGCTGGTACAGGGCAAGCCTGAGCCAGCCCTAACTATAAGCTTTATCAAAGAGGAAAGTCTTAAGTCTAGTCTTAAATGTGGAGACGGTGTCTGCCTCCCGGACCGTAACAGGAAGATGATTCCACAGGAGAGGAGCCTGATAGCTGAAGGCTCTGGCTCCTGATCTACTTTTGGAGACTTTAGGGACCACGAGTAACCCTGCGTTCTCAGAGCGCAGTGTTCTGGTGGGATAATATGGCACTATGAGCTCTCTAAGATATGACGGAGCTTGACCATTTAGAGCTTTATAAGTTAACAGTAGGATTTTAAATTCAATTCTGGATTTTACAGGGAGCCAGTGCAGAGAAGCTAAAACAGGAGAAATATGATCTTGTTTCTTAGTTCCTGTTAGTACACGAGCTGCTGCATTCTGAATTAGCTGGAGAGTTTTTAAGGACTTACTAGAGCTACCTGATAATAGAGAGTTACAGTAATCACTTGGTTGAGTTAAGGATACTGATGGCAAAACTGTGAAGTCCCTTTGCACATTTCATTTAGAATTTAAAATTTAAACTTTTGAATTAATACAGGGACCAAATGCAATGTTATAAAATGTTTATTTGTTATAATTGTAGACAAGAAAAGTTGAAGTTGCAGGTATGATATTTTTAAAAGGGCATGTCACCCACAAAATAACAACTTTTAAATCAGTTACTCTCCCCATGTTACATTCATTTTCCTGAAGACAACTTTGTTTTTCTTGCATGCTTCCATGTTGATTGAAGAATCCAAAAACAGCCAACGTTTTTGATGAATTGGAGTCATAAAGGGTTGTGTTAAACAAGAGCAAAACTATATCAAAAAATCAGTTTTCTAACAAAACTCGTGCAGTATAATCAAGTGGCAACCACGGCTAAAAAATGAAGCAAACTCCGTTTGTAGTCACCTTCACAGCTGAATGAAGCTCCCTTCATCAAGGTGTTGGAAATAAACACAGCAGCGAGCTTTGGGAAAAACTTACCTCTCTGCAGGAAAGAGAAACTGTCGTAACTCTTTGTATCTATGAAGAAAAATAAAGCTTAGATGACTAAAGAGGGATATATTTTATCTTAAATACAATGTAACCTTTAAGATGTTAACATCTGCATGGAAATGTAAAATTCTATCTTAGGCTGAGCGTTTACATTTGTAAGGGTAGTCACGGAACTTTATTTGTACAGAGCGACTTCCATGATGAACACGTGATGGCGTTGCAGGTGGTCAGTAAGTCGGCATCGGTGCAGGCTCGCTGTCGGAGGGTTTTATAACTCACTTCCACTCCTCGCTAGACTGTGGAAATGTGAATGTGGAAATGGAGTGAAAGTGGTTAGGAAGAGGGTGTAGGGGGTGGTTTGGGGAAGGTCCTAAAACACTTCTGCATAAACAGTCTAATGTACGCCTGGACAAGCACATGCATTTGAACTCTGCTAATGCATTCCATTTAGGTACCAAGCTGCGCTACTCGTCTGTGTGTGACTGTTTATGCAGAAATGTTTTGAATAATAAGGTTGTAGCAGATTTTCAGAATCTTGATAATCTGTTTGGATCCAGTTGCCATCTGCTCAGTTATAGTTCAGTGCCTACCTGTAGGCCGTAAGGATTGTGTTTTCCTTGGGGGAGGTTATTGTCATCACTCCCCAATCTGTGCTTACCTGTAATTGTTAGTTTTCTGCAGGGAGTGACAAGGTCAGAGGCCAAATATCATCACTGTACATATTCACGTAATAATACATCACTTCTGTTTGAAATTTATTGCTTACCTCTCCTCTACCTGAAACACAGCTGTCAAGTTTGGTCGCATGTCCAAGAAGCAGAGGGACAGTTTGTATGCTGAGGTGCAAAAACATCGCCTCCAGCAGCAGCAGCAGCAGCAGCGGCCCCTCCTTCTGTCTCACCCCAGCCTCGGCAGCCCGAGCCCGGGCGAGGCTGAGCGGCTGTCCCCTCACTACAGCCTCTCCTCCACAGGCCTCACGGAGCTGCCGGATGAGCTGGGGGGCTACATGGAACAAAACTCGCCTGAGGGAGGATCAGTATCGTCCAAGGTCTGTGGTTTTAACTTTCCAGAGGTGTTACTACGCCTGAAAATGGATTGAATTAGCAACAGTCCGTGTGATCTATATGACTTCTCTTCCACAAACAGGCAGACTCTGGAGGAGGAGGAGAAGGAGGAGGAGAAGGTCGGGGGTTCTACCTGGACGTTCAGCCATCCCCTGACCAGTCCGGACTTGATATTAATGGCATCAAACCAGAACCGCTGTGTGACTACGGATCCAGTAATGGCTTCTTCCCATACTGCTCCTTCAGCGACGGAGACACATCACCCACCTTGTCCATGGCTGAACTTGGTGAGAAGGAAGAAATAGAAGATCACCCCTTCCCTGCTGTTTAAAACTGTCAGTTATATTCAACTCAAAATTCAAAAGAAGACTATGAATCAAATTCTGCTCTAAATTACATATTTTCTAAATAATCTACAAATTCAGGGAGTGGAGTTTGAAAGACTAGGTTTGAAAGGAAAGTTTATCATAAAGATGCTATTAACTTGTGTTTTGGAAAATGTAGGACCCAGTGTTTTTGGAGTGTTACCCATACTAGGGACTACCAGTAAGGACATCTCTGCCTCTGCTGCTTTGATTTGGACTATTTGTCACTTGTCCCCAAACGAAACTTCAATAGTGAATTACTGGAATACCCCTTTACACTAGAACTTTTTGGACAGGAAAGATTTGTTCATCCCTCCAGAAAACGTTCTGATTCCCATTGTGACCGTGCATAATGGATACAAAATCCTCTTCTGGTTGCATGTGTAGTGCTTATGAAAAAGAACAACGTAAAACTTTCACCATATGGCAGAAGGTTGTAGGGAGCTGGAGGGGAAAAACAAACAGAAAGATGAGGAAATATCATGAAAGAATGGAAGCAGAGAGGAGGAGAAGAAAAAGAAGACATGGAGGAAGGAGAGGCCACAAAGAAGAGTTGGAGACAAAAGAAAGAAAGTAAGAGGAGGAACTGTGGGGCAAACAGAAACAGAAAGGTGGTTTAAAATAGCAGGAGGTTGGAAACTCATCTTCAGAGCTCATTAAAATCTCTGTGTGGTAATTAGCTGTCTGTTAATTAGGGCCAAGTGGGACGTGGCAGGGCACGCGATGAGGGAAATCATCTCTTTATTCTCCCTGGAGACTTTTTTTATTCCGTTTTTTTTTTCTTTTTCTTTAACAAAAGCATTTATCATAATACCCCTCCGCCCCCGCCCCCGCCCCCGCCCCCTGATCCAGGAGTGATTAGCTGACTCTATTTTTGTACCTTGTGCTGTGTTGTATTGATCTCTGGTGTTATTTCATATTCATTCATTCTCGCTGAAACAATTAGCAGCTGCACAGAGATGGTTAATAGCTGCTGCATGTTCCTTTAAGATTTTTTTCCTATCTGAGCTGTGTTCGCAAACATTTTGTTGACACAGTTGTGTACAGTATAAAGATTTGGCTAAAAGACAAAACTCGTCTCATGCGTCACAGTATACAACATCACATCAACATCACAAACACAGTTTTGACTTTCTGTTTCTTTTTCTGTTTATCATCATGCCCCCCTGACCTTGTGAGTGTTCACCAGCTCACTGCTGTGTGTCTTGTTGTAGATCACCTAGCTCAGCTCATCTCAAAGTCTCACCTGGAGACGTGTCAGTACCTGAGGGAGGAGCTGCAGCAGATGAGTTGGCAGAACTTCCTCCAGGACGAGGTGGAGAGCTACCAGAGCAAGGTGTGTTCACTGCCTTTATCTGTATGGGCAGGTTGTGGCATTATTACAAAACCAGGTAATAAGTGTACCTGTGTGGTTCTATTCTATTATATATA